TAGGCTGCAGATGCGTTATCACCTTTGAGGACTAAGATCGAATGCCTCAGGAATGAAAGAGAGGTCTGCGCCCCACTGCACCATAATAAACCAGCCGTGAGCCTTCTTTAATTCATGAGATGTTTTTAAGGCAAGGAAGAATCCGCCGCAAGATCCATGCATGTTCGCAGACTTGACGCGCCATGTTATGAACTTCCTTTCTTACTATCACGAGCTAAAAGAAATCTTCCGAAACAAAATGTTTTAAAGCCTTCCGATCGCACCAAACAACTATAATTTAAGCAGGATATGATAATCGACATAAAAAATATAGAACCGGGGTGACCGACCGATGGCAGACGGTAACATAAGTATCAAGCCCAATATTATTATTATTATTTTTTGTAATTTACATTCAATTATTTTTTCCTCACACAACAACCTTGTGGAATCTACCACCAGCGATTCGTCCAGGCCGATAAGATATATGGAGCTTCACAACCTCCAATTTTTTAAAAAGCCGGCAACGCACCTGCAATTCCCCTGGTTTTGCAATTGTTCACGGGCGGCGGTAGTCACTTAAAATATTACATATTATGTGAGCCGCATGAAACATAAACTTTTTTATTCAATATAGATTATAAATAATACTTATTGAAAGTCACTCTTATGTTTAATTACCACTGGTTCGAAAAAAAAACCTCTGTCCTGGGAAGAACCAGCAAAAAACCCAGTGGGACATTTTAAAAATGCACTGCTACTGGCCCACTTTGCCATGTAGGCACCATAATAGTAGTAGAGTACTCTTGCACAAGTCGCGCCGCGCCGGTGTGAAAACAAACGTGCGGAAAAAAACACTATTTTGATTGAACGTCGAAAATAACTATCGACGCTGTGATGCACTTTGATGTTATTTTCGAACTGTGAAACAGAGAGGTGTTTGCTCGGATTCGGAGATGGTATTTCTCACTAGCTCTGAGCGTGCGATTGTACTTAAAAATTGTTTTAACTAAGCACAAGTTCTAACTTCAAGACAAGTTCAACTTCAACGTTAAAGGACCCTTAGTCGATTGTCCTTTAACGATTGGATCGTCATAGAACAAAGGGTGACAAACAAGTGACAAACGAGAACACTGTCCGACTGATTGAAAGTGGATAGTGGATACTCATAGATATTTACATCTATCCTCGATTAAGAACCAAAATGCAGATGCGTTGTTACTCCAGAGGACTAAGATGGCATGCCTGGGTCTCCGGTTGTCTATACTCACTATAGGAAACACAGCAGTCACAAGTCACCTAACATTATTATTAAAGAGTTTCGAATTATCATGGTAAATAAATAAGTGATTTTTTTTAAATTCTGTACCAAAAAAAAAATTACATACCACGTTACTTTCGATTTTGAGCTAAGTTCAAAATTTCACCAGTAACGACGGACAAACAAGTGACAACAAAAACGTGGTAAAATTATCACATTTATTAAACAGATTTAAAATCTAATAACATCTTGAAATTAAATCGAATACTTTTATGTATCATTTGATGCCTGTCACTGAAAAACCATATACATCGTGAATGAAAAGTACGATCAGTTTTATGACGTAACAACTGGGATGTAGTGTTGCCCAAATGCAAGAACAAGACGAGACTTAGCCAGTCTTGGTCTTGGTCTTGCGCCAATACACCTGGTCTTGTTCTTGGTCTTGGTATTGCGCTCTCAGTCTTGTTCTTGGTCTTGGTCTTGCAGCAAGAGTCTCGCAAGTCTCGCAAGCCTTTTGCTATTTATTAAACGTTACTTTAGATCTTAGAACAACTTAACACAGTAGGCACATTTTGAGCTTGAATTAACATAGCCATAGAAAGACCAACCAAATTAATAAATGTCTAAACATTTAATGAGAAATTCGAAGAATCAACTAATACCGGGTGGGGTTTGAACCCACGACCTAAGCGATCCGTGCCGATGCTCTAACCAACTGAGCTGTCTACCATGTCTCACGGCCACGGGAGTTAGTCTGTTTCTTAATAAACGTTTACATTTAATAAGCTTACATGTGCTAAAACTTTGTCAAAAGATATAAAAAACAAATTAATGACATTAACTTAACTGTATTATAAAGAACATTATCTGTCTAGAAAGAGATTGATAGACCCTTATACGAAATGGAATAAAAGAGTTATACAATTTACCATTTATTTAAATAAAAAAATAAAATACAATACAAATTAAATTACATAACAGTACACAACAGCTTTGACATTACTGTTACTTTATATTAATTCTTTTGACCAAGAATTAATACAAAGTAACCATCTGGCTGACTCATCACTTAACCTATTTCTATGTTTTCTAATTACTAATGATGCTTTGGAAAATAAACCTGCTGAGAGGTACTGAAGTTGCAGGTATTGAAAGAAAATCACGGGGCATCTTCGATAAAGTCGAATATTCTGTCTCATGCGTCCTCCACCACTCTAAAATGTCTTCCGAACTGGCGGCTCTGGGTTTACTTAGGTACTCCTCCAACTTGTCTATAACTAAGCCTTGATGAAAAGATCCAGATCCAGATGACGTCGAGGGACATGCATACAGTTTCTCAAAGTCTATTACGTCTTCATCTTCATCATATTAACATACTTTCTTTTCATTTCTTGGTGATTCTAGAAATGTATTCACTGAGTCTGAGTGTAGACTTTTATATTCTTTATAAAGTTCATTAAATTTGCGCAGGCTTTCTGTTTTAATTTGTTTCCTCCATAATGTCATGTCAAAAGTCTGAGTTTTATGCCTTGGGTCTAAAATTAAAGAGTTACAATTAGGGCATCGAGAACCGGTCCCTTTCCAGGAACCGGTTCTTTCGGTTCTAAAATTTTGTCGGAACCGGGTACCCGGTTCTTTCGGTTCTTTTCTTTCTTTTAGGTTGGAGGCTATTTCGTTCAATGTGAATAACGATAATAATATCCATAAAGAAAACAGTTTATTGCAAATCATGGATTAAAGTAGTTATTCAAGTAATAATTGAAATATTCTAATTAAATATAAAAAAAATTTAACATCTCACTAACTAGGAACATTCATTTTACAATTGCACGTTAAAAGTTATTTCACATTACTTAAATTTTAATTTCATTCAACATAAAAATAGTTTAGAAAGATTCTATTCTATCATAGAATATACTTAACGGATTACGGAACTATTATAACAAAACACAAATCAGCTCACTTATGAAAAAAAAAATAGTTTTAATTAAACATTACTTCTTAATTTTACTTAAATAAAAAATAAAACAGAAAATTTAATGCATGCAAATTTTTATCACTCAAAGACGAGCGCAGCCTATTGCAGACGAAGAAAATATTCGCTCTGGCTCTACACAGGTGGGCGAAATAGTTTCTAAATGTTCATAAGCTCGAGCAGCATGCAAGCATCGATAAGTAGTACTCGTTGCCTTTGCCACCATTTTCAAATAGAGCCATTTCAACTCTCACAGTAGTAATTAAATCATTTTCTTGATCTGTCGATTCAGTAGCAGTAGTAAGAGCTAGTAGACTGCTCTCTATTAAATTCCTCTTCATTTGTTAGGGGGGATTCATGTAATTCAATTTCCTGCAGATTTTGACATCCAATTCCTGGCGTTTCTTCAAGGGATATTTTTGTCTAGCTTTTATGCGTTTTTTTATAAAATAAGGATGACAAATGAGCACACAGTCCACCTGATGGTAAGGGGTTGCTGTGGCCTATAGACATCTACATCTATCCTCGATGACGAATCAAAATGCAGATGCGTGGTCGTTGTTGATGCCTGGATTCCAGTAATAGGACATCCGGTTCTCTACACTCACCATACACAGCAGCGTACTCTATGAGAGCGTGGTCCTTCCCCGGTCGAGCCGACCTATTAATGCTACAACTATACCAGTAATATTTCTGCAGCATGGCTCTACCACGTAAAAATTTTCAATTTTATGTAACCTTTCATCACAGCATCTTCGACCATACTGGCACAATAACTGTCAAGGTTGGTTAAGTATCACAGTATTGATGTTTGCATGTTTTTTATATTGTTTTCGCAATGCAGTGACCATTTTATTACTAAGATGAGTATTCATTTCAGTTAATTTTCTTATATCAAATTTTAAAGAAGCATCGGCTATAATAAATATTGCATCGCGACGGGATAGAGCTTCTACGATATTTTTAAAAACATCCAATATATTATTTAACTCGTCTATGTATGTCCAGTCGTCCTCAGTAAAAACCTATATTGTATATCAGATTTTAAATCAATTAATGCTTTTCTGATCGTTTTTAACTTCAGAAAACATTGCGGCTATACTGCTCCAGCGTGTCTTTACATCTAAAACCAAACAATATTCTTGTCCGAAATCAACTACGATATGCTTTTGAAGAATTTCGTCACTTTTAGTGGGGGAACCTTTGGAAATTTTTACCAAATTAAATTAAATATCATTACGAATCCTATTGTTTGCCATAAATAGCAGAAAAGATTAATAATCACGTTTTTTATAACACTACACTAGTGATATACTTTTTAAGAAATTTTGTAAAGGAACCGAAAGAACCGGGTTTTAAATTTTCGGAACCGGTTCTTTTCGTGACCCCTGAAACCCGAGAATTCCCGGTTCTTTTAGAACCGGGAAAAACCGGTTCCGATGCCCTAGTTACAATAAATCCAGTTGCTCTTTTTATAATGTTTAAGCATTTTGTCTCGAGCTGCTTGAAAACCCAGAATGAGCCTTTCATCCACTTCGGATCGATTAGGTTTCTCATCTAATTGTTTAACATGGATTCAGTTTTATCGAGCAAGAGATTGAATGATACAATGACTAGCGGTAATGTAACATATTTTTCTCCACCAAGTTTCGTTGATAGAAGTTTAAAGTTTATGTATTTTTTCCAGTATTTGCCATTCACTATCTGTAATTTGAAAATCATTCAATTCGGTGACAAGTGTGGTGAGAAGTGCACAATATGTTAATGCCAGTTCTCACTTTCTTAACCAAATCCAATCATATCATATGTGGAATTCCATCTCGTTGGATAGTCGAGTATGGCGTTCAGATTTGATAGCACGCCAGCTGCTTCACAAGCAGACTGAAACTTCCTCTTTAATATCTCACTTCTTTTTATTTTACTGGAAATACTGCGTAATTTTGTTATAGCTGTACGTGAGTCAGCAATATTTGGCGCATATTCTTCATCTTCCTCAGTTTCGTCTTCATTGTCTTCATATTGCTGTTCTTGTCCCTTATTGTCACTTTCACAGTGTAATGCTAAGGTCTTTAATAAATCTTGTACACCAAGGTTCAAAATGTGAGCAAAGCACCGGAAATGTTGATTGTCTGAATCAATGTGTGGCAGCTGTTTGTCCAATTCATGCATAAATTTGGTATTTGCAGTTGCGTTGTCGACCGTGACACCCTGTATTTTATCAATTATGTCATATTCCAATAAACATTCGTGGAAAATCGTTGCAATATCTTCCCCAGTATGTCGACCGCGTGATGGTATAAAATCAAGGACTACAGATCGATACTTCCATTCGTTGTCTATATAATGAATAGTGACCCCGTAGTAACTCCTACCAGCAACTGACGTCCATCCATCAATGGTAAATGACATTTTAGATGAAAATTGTTGTAGTCGTTTCTTAAGATGCAATTGAAGCTCTTCAAACCGTTCTTTGACCTTCCTTCTAAGTGTGGACCTTTTAGGAAACACCATATTTGGGCAAATTGATCGAAAATATACTTGTGTAGCTTCGTCATCGAAAAATGAGAAGGGAAGATATTTTTTAACCATCCAATCAACTGTAGCTGTCGTGATGTTGTCACTGCTATTTTCAGACTGAAATAAAAGAGTAAATCATGTGTCTCGCCGATTATAAAAACAAATGAAAATATGAGTGAATTATAAATACACTACATACATAACTAACTAACTATAATATATATATATATATATATATATATAATATGTAACGTAATTAACGCACACCCTCAGACACCCCAATAAGTATATTATATTATAATCATTATACATATACTGACTTTTTAATTAAACATGTTTATGCATTGATTATTTATTAAATTAGTTATACTAATTCCGGAACAATTTTGTGGTCACAGTATAAATCCACGAACGCACGCAGTCGCTCACGTAGGTATAGGTTTTGAGGGTCTTTCTATCACAGTAGGTACCTATTCGCTCGCGTTCGAGACGAGTTAACGCCGCCGCCGCTTGACACAACTGTAGGTAGGTATAAGTGCCGAAAAAAGCTGATAATATCTATTAGGTAATAATAATAATAGTAAGTAATTATTATAAACCCATATAGTTAATATTATAATAATTACTTACTAGAATAAATTATTATGGTATCTACCTATCATTACCATTATCTAATTACAATATTCCTTGCGAGATCAGCATAATGTATTCGTGTCCATTCTGAGCACCCGGAAACTTATTTTATTCTTTGGAACATGTACTCTGTGGTGGCATTCAAACAGTGTCAAATGTAGTGCGTGCGGCGTGGCGGCGACGATTGAATGCGATATCAATAGAAGCCGCCGGCGCGTGTATTTTGACCTTGTACTTCCGAATAGCTGCAAATTTTCTTTGACAGGTCAGTATTCGACCTTTGATGATGCCGACAACAAGACGCCGCGCACTATCAAAGTACCAATGGTTAAAACTAGGGATGCACTGTATTTTCTTTTAATGGATATTTTCATCCGCTATGTATGTTTATGGTATTGTTCGTAATGCGCATAAGTCCAATTTTCCAAATTTTTTTTATATATTTTTTGCGTCTCATAGACTCCCTAAGCGTATACCCGAACTCCTATACTCCCTGAAACGACACTCATTCCTAACTGCAAGACGCAAGAGTCTCGCAGGTTTAGTCTTGTTCTTGCTCAAATCTTGCACGGTCAGTCTTGGTCTTGGTCTTGCTAAAATTAGGCGGTCTTGTTCTTGGTCTTGGTCTTGCAAAAATGCAAGAACAATACCAAGACTGCAAGACCAAGACCGATTTTGGGCAACACTACTGGGATGTGCGCCATAATGTGAGTCAATCTGTCAGTCACGAATATTATTATGTACTAGAGGGCCCGGTAGATAGTGCCCTGAACTGAAAATAATAAAACCTAGAACCTATTTGGAGCGCCCTCTACCGGGTCCAATTGTGAATCTAAACCATCCAGGGCACCCTTGGATAGTTTCTCAAACATACACAAGATATTATACGTTTAGGGGAGAGTTCTTTTTTTTACTTTTTATAAGCCAGGGCTTGACCACAGTCCCACCTGGTGGTAAGTGGTGATGTAGCCCAAGATGGTAAATCGCACTGTCTTCATCATCATCATTACAGCCTTTCACAAGTCCACTGCTGAACATAGGCCTCCCTCAAGGAATGCCACAAAGCACGGTCCTGAACCACCTGCATCCATCGACTTCCTGCATGTCCTACCAGGTCGTCACTCCATCTCGTGGGGGTCGCCCTACACTTCGCCTACCGGTACGAGGCTGCCACTCGAGAAACTTTCTTCCCCATCGGTTGTCGTTTCTTCGAGCTATATGGCCGGCCCACTGCCACTGCAGCTTACTAATCCGTTGGGCTAACAAAAGCATATTCACTTTTGCTTTGAAGACGCCCAGATTGACGGCAAATTATTTCACTCCTCTGCCGTACGCATTACTAAAGACGAAGCAAACCGTTTGGTTCTAATGCTTGGAATGTCGACAACAAAGGGGTGAGAATACACGCCGACCGCCTGGTTGACCGATGGTGGAAAAGAGAAGAAGGAATTAAAGCGTATAATTCCTGCGAACACTCACGCAAATGCATCCTACAGAATAATGACAGGCTGGCTACTGCTGAGTAATTAAATCTAGTCAGCCTCGAGGCTGACTAGATTGGTTTCTACCAAATCAAGGTCACCAATGAGCCTCTTAGCACGTCTTTTGCGGCATTTTGCAGCACCAGCTCATATGAGGATTAAACTCGTGTTACTCGAGCACGGATATAATTTACGGTGAGCTCTTAGGCTCTCAGCTATCACGGTTGGCTTAAGTAACAATTAAAAATCCTAATTTCTAGGTGGTAGTACTCCTTTTAAACCTTTATGTTTTTTTATGTATGTTACTTCATAACTTTTCTAGGTGAACCGATTTTGATGATTCTTTTTTTTTTATTTGAAAGCTGGTGCTTCTCATGTGATCACATATAAATTTAATCATGGTCTGACCAGTAAGTAGGTTTTGAGATATTCTTGATGATTTATCGTGAAGTTGGTTGTACACATTTTTTTTAATTTTAGCACTTGTTGAATTAAGAGTTGCTTGTCTGTCAAAAGTCCGTCTGTATTGGTATCACCATATTATCTATTGCCGCCGCCAAATAGCAGTACTTGCACGGCTGAGTTCCAGTCTGAGGGTCATAGAAAGCTATAATTATAGGTTTTTAGACAATCCATCTTAGTCCTCAGAGGTGACAATTCTTTGTTTGAAGTTAGCTGCAAATGTCCATGGACTTTTGTGACCAATCACCACGTGGACTGCAAGTTTACGAAAAAAAATAAAAACAAATAAATAAGAAAGGAATATTAAATTGAGCAGTGAAAGTTTATGTTAATTTATTTAAAATGGCAAAAAATGCATGTTTTATAATAAAAGCAACTTCAAGCGCAAAAACTTAGTTTGCAATTATAATATACATTCAAGCCACAATGAAAGGGAAATTAAGCTGCGCAAGTATGGATGAACAATATTTAGTCTGTGCATTTTACATTTCCGTCTAACAGCGTGTCGGTGACGTCTGCGTCGTCTATTTAGCGCCTGTCTACACCTACACTTATTTATTTCAAGAACTATGTGGGTATAATCGACAAAAAAATACAATTATATTTTTTTCTTAAAGTAGAATAGGTTACAAGGTCGATGACATTCAAAATATTATTTAAGTGGTCTGTATGCTAAAATTTTTATAAGTACAGGGATGACCCCGATCTGCAACGATTGTCTATGGGTAAATTTTAATTGTTTTGTTGTTCTTAAGTCAGCAGTGCAATTGTGTAAGTCGGTATGCAATACAATTTATATATATTAAATCTTATATTAGTAAAACCTATAAAGTCGAACTCCTTGTTTTGTAAAAAGATAGATGTTAAATATTATTCAGTTAAGTTAATTGTAAAATAAGTGCATAACATTTCACCAACAAACTACTCTCTCTTTCTTTGGTAATGGGCTCGTACGATTGCACATTTGTCAATGTCAAGTAAGTTATGTACGTGGTAGAGCCATGCTGCAGCAATCTTAATAGTATAGTTGTAGCACGAATGGGTCGGCTCGACCGGGAAAGGACTACGCTTTCAAAGAATACCAGCGTGAAATAGCAGCTTAACGCTTCTGTGTTTTCTATGGTAAGTGTAAGAGAATCGGAGACTCTCTTTACTGAAAAAGAGGCATTCTATCTCAGTTCTCACGGCTGACAACGCATCTGCATTTTAATTCGCAAACGAGGATAGATGTAGATGTATATGGGCCACAGCAACCACTGACCATCAGGTAAACTTTGTGCTGGTTTGTCACCCTTATTCTATAAATAAAAAAATAGACTGCCCCCATAGATTGCTAATTGAATGTTAGCTATAGTTGGTACGTTAGGCAAGCAGGTCGGCAACCGCAGTTTTTTTTTTTTCATTTTATTGTTGTTATAAGAATTTCTAATAATAACATTCTCGTGGTTTGTTTCACTCTGTCGCCTCTTACGACACCCACAGGACGATACGGCGGAGTGGATATACTAACCCCGCCACCACATGAGATTTAAATCACCATCGTAGCACTTGTTTAATAATTTCTTACGTGGTAGAGCCATGCTACAGCTATATTAGTAGTATAGTTGTAGCACGAATGGGTTGGCTCGACCGGGGAAGGACCACGCTCTCACAGAATACCAGCGTAAAATGGCAGCTTGACACTGCTGTGTTTCGTATGGTGAGACCCTTTTTACGGGAAAAGAGGCATTCCATCTTAGTCCTCACGGGTGACAACGCATCTGGATATTGATTCGTAATCAAGGATAGATGTAGATGTCTATGGGCCACAGTAACCACTTACCATCAGGTGCTCGTTTGTCACCCCATACTATAAAAAAAAATCATTCCCACTAATAGTTCACATGAGCAGAGATTTAATATACAAAATTGCAGTACTTTAACGAATGAAAATCCACTTCAAAGCATCATTTCAACAATAATAAAGGCTCAGCAGTCAGCAAAATTTACGACTTTAAAACTGACAACACTTTGTACATTTTTGTTAAAATAAATAAAAAAAAATATAAGCAACAAATAAACCATTTTTCAACAGCCTACACACTACTAAAATAGAACCTCAGTAATTTCGTATCGTTATGAAATTATCACGAAAGCGCAAAAATGTATTAAAATATATACTTATTCCTCTCCCCAGCTGTATTTTAATGAAATTTGACTAATTTCTAAACTGAAGCAGCTGTACCACTACATTTCAAATGACGCGGTCCGATATTTTTGTACTGATCATAAAAAGAGACGTAAACAAATGATAATATGCCAAAACCGACCTTCGGTATGATTTGTGGACAATATCCTGGATTCTTATGTCTATCCCTAACGCAATCAAACAAACTAGATATAATTTAGTGTCGTTTTGAAACTGTCTTTTTGAAACGT